TCCCAATAATCCAGGGATAAAACCTTGACTATATACAACTTAATGTTGTTAGTTGCCTTTGAGTTGATTCCGACTCATGGCGACCCCACGTGTGCAGAATAGAACTGCTTCATAGGGTTTTTAAGGCTGTGGCCTTTTGGAGGCTGATCATCAGGACTTTCTTCCGAGGAGCCTCTAGGTGGATTTGGACCGCTAACCTTTTGGTTAGCAGTCCAGCACTTAACATTTCTGCCATCCAGGGACTCTTAAAACTTAATATTTGAACCTTATTATCTCTCACTTCATTGAATTGCTTTTACTAAACATGCCTTTAGAGTCATGCCCTCGCTTTTCATCATGTCCCAACAACAACTGTTGCCATCACTAGGAAGTCTAGCTGTGCCCCCCTGTGATGTCATGAGGATGACATTTCTTCAGAATTGAGTGACAGAAAAATCTCTGCTTTCCTCAAAGAATTAATGATTTTTGCCCCTGATGAATAAGGAGGATTGGAACCATGAAGCATGTAACTGATCTTTTTTTTCTTCTCCATGAATGAACTGGTTATGAATTAATTTTCACCTTAAATCCTAGGATGGGAAAAATAACACACTCCAGTTTATCGTCAGCTCCATTCATTGAAGGTTATCACCCATTTTAAAAATAGTGCTTGAAGAAAATAACCCTCGGGTGGCTTTAATAAGTACTCTAAACCTGAATAAATTTTAAGAAATCTTAAAAAAATAAAATAAAATAATTTTTTTAAATTGAAAGAAACAATAATACGAATTTTGAAAAGACTGTTGATGTCACTGTGGTTTATTGGGTAAATACAAAGTATAGGTTCTTGCATTTTTTTCAAAGCAAAACCAAAGAGATTAGAAATGAAGTATACATGTCCTTTTTAGAAAACAAACAAATTAGTTTTAACTAACAATTAGGCACTTAAAATGTAAATGTAAAACGTTGGCATTTTAGAAGTATGAACTGTAGTTATACTCCTAAATTCCTCCTGAAACGTATTTACAAACACAAAAGTACAAGCATGGAATATGTATTTTTAGAACAAAGATAATCTCTTCTTTTTTTAAAAAAGAATCTGAATTCAAATCCCATGACAGACCAATGATTCAGGTACTGGTGGGCAGGAGGAAAAAGCTTCCGAAACTTAGATACTTGATTAAAATGTAAGCATTTAATAAAACTATTACAATAGCATATAGTATATATCATAATGAAAAATATATGTCAGGAAAATAATAAATTCTAGACTTAAAATTTTACTTTACAACAAGGCACTTTACACACTGAAACAGTACAGTTAATTTCCAAAAGAATGCCATCGGCTACTTCTCAAACCTTGTAATAATATTTCTTTTGTGAAGATACTATAACATAATCATAAATTTTGCAGCATTAATCATTGCATAGGAGGTAAATTAAATAATCAATTCCAACATGGCAACTAGATTAGCTTATGTTTATAGTTTCTTCTTTTCTTTTAAAGGACAGTTTTAAATAATTACACAATAACTATTCTCATTCATGATTCATTTAGAACACCGTATAGATAAATTAATGAGTAATAAAATAAATCAGAACTTATAAGATGTATAGCTGTATAAAAACTTATCTTTGGGTACCTTTGACATGATTTTCAGTGTTTGGTATTGAAGTCAAGAGCACTTCTTAATAGAAAAAATATTTTTAGCAACTTAGTCAAAGGAGTTAAATTAATGCAACACAATGGCATTAAAAAAAACAAATCTTTATACATACAAATAGAAAAGCCTTCAACAGGTGGCATTATTACTTACAATATACTCGATTTAATCATGTAAACTCATTTATTAGGAAATTCCGTCTCACACTTCCTTATACTACAGAGGTGAACGTGTTAAGATCCGTTTAAATTTATAATCAGTTTTATAGTGCAAAACAAAAAACAAACAAAAAAGAACAAAAACAAAGTACAAAATATTCAAGGAAAAAGATGTGAACTTTTAATTAAAAAAGAAACTGCATGCATTCTAGCATGTTTAAAAAAAAAAAAAGGTAAGAAAGACGGCCAACTTGGTGTTTCAAAGTAAACACAGTATAGGTAGTCATAAAGGGAGACATTAATGATTGTGATAGTGAGAGGTAAAAATGTTCTACAAATTTTCTTTGCTCAAATGGATAAAAGATTAGAATTGCAACTCTGTATAAATCTGAGCACATTTTCCCCTTTGGAAAAGGCTTAAAATGCCTTTAAAATAACTCCTTTCCCATGATAGTTTCAGATTATTGGCAAAAATTATAAAAAACAAATGCCTTTTTAAAAACTTGAAAATATACTTAAAAAAATTGAAAGTTTGCAGTCCAACGTACTAAAACATACCTACTAAAATTCATATAATGCATTTCCACAAGGGGGCACTAGTATGCAGCAAAGGACCCTACGCAACGTTATCCGTAAAGCACACTAGAGACTGAAGGTTCACTCCCAAAACAGCCTTCCCCCACAGCAAAACTTGTTTCCCAAGATGCCAGTCAATTAAGAACAAATTCACAATTACCTCAGGTAGAACAGGTAAATAATGCTTTATTTTCAAAGCTAATGGAGGAGCTAAAAAAAAAGAAATAGACTCAGAGCGGAACTCATTGGCATAATTTATAGGAGTTGTATGTACAGATATTTCACAGAAGGACTAAATTACAGGAAAAGCTTCAAACAGATGAACTGGTTTACCAAGAAAAGGGCAATGGATATGACCTTGCTTGTAACTTAACTGGCAAAGAACTTAAAAGGAGTTTCAAAAATTTACTGTTTCACAGTTAAGATCTGAAGTGTTTGTGTTTTATGATTCCAAAGTGACATGTTAGGTTACATCTTAAATTTATTTTCCTAAATGTAAATGAGTTTGCTATTCTCTTCTCCCATCTTGATTTTTGTTTTCCCTGCATGATTTTCAAATCACATGCTTTCTGAGCACATGTGACAGAATTATGACATAAACTTGCAAAGGACATCAGAGTAGTAGTGTCCACTCATGGGGTCATAGGTCATGGGGTCACAGGTGTTTGTAAAGTTCTTTAAAAGGTGATGACATGTTTTAAAAACTGAATTACTTGACTAAGGGTTAAGAGTCTTCAGTAATCAATACACAAGGATTTTTAAAGCTTAAACAGTTTTCCTTATTTAAATGGGAAAGAAAAAAAGGGTAGTTATCAAAATACCAGCTGAATAAGGCTCTAGGGTATACCAAACTGTTTTATTCGAATTAGAGGTTCCATAGAAATACTCTAATATAGGATGGCAAAACCCAGGCTTCAGAGCCAGAGGCTTTCCTTCATAATCAGACAACAGGGATTTTAAATCAAAGTGTGTTCAAGCAGATCTATCACAAGTTTCTAGATATTTAATAATATTTAATACATGGAAATGATGTAGAATTACGGTTAGATACCTCAAGTAGGCTATAGATACATTGATTATTGGTTTATTAATAATAAATACCAGAGAAATCCTTGTGCTTCAAAGCTCACCAAGGATGTTTTAGGGCGTCAGTTCTTGTTTTGTATAATCAGACTAGAAAGTCTTTCTTCTGGCTTTGAACTCAACTACCCTTGCCTTTAGTAATCCATTCTTCTATTATACAAAGAAAGAGCCATACTGAAAACATACACAGAATTTTAGCACCAAAGAATGATGACTCTTCTGAACAGATTTGTATTGTGCTTTTCTCAAACAATTTTAAGGTCAATTTTACGTACTTAATCAAGGATGACTAGTTTTGGTAATGATGATATACTGAGGGATGCTTTTCATTCTATGAGGAGGGAAAATTCCACCTTCAGTATAAATGGAACAACCTCCTTCCACCCTCACTGACTCTCCCATACACGTACCCTAGTGTTGCTGATTTTGTAACCTTTTAAATCTTTTTTTAAGGTTACTAGGAAGTCTTGCAAATTAGCCTTAAAGTAGTTAAGGAATTAGCCAAGATTTATCCAAAAGATTCAATGGCATTAAATGATATAATCTAGTCATTTAAAAAGGAGCCGTTGTGGTTGAACAGTTAAGTGCTCAGCTCCTAACCAAAAGCTTGGTGGTTTGAACCCACCCAGTGGCTCTGCGGGAGAAAGACCTGGTGATCTGCTCCGGTAAAGATTACAGCCTAGAAAACCCTATGGGGCAGTCCTACTCTGTCACATGGGGTCATTATGAGTCGGAATCGACTCGATGGCACCTAACAACAATAACAAAAACAACGACAGTCATTTAAAAAAACTGTCTGCCTTTTTTTCATCACCTCAAAGAAATTTAGAAACAATTATCCCCTTACTGTGTAGTGTAACTGTCTGACACACTGACTCCAACAGATTATAGTGAAGCACCGTGTTATAATTCTCAGAGGGTACAAGTAAAATGATTCAATCATGGTATACGTCCTTAGGATCTGTTTATGACATGCTGAGTCTCTTGCTAAAAAGCAAGGATAAATTAACTTCGGCCGCCATCTTGGTTTTTCATAAAGTACAATGTAATTGAAGATATAGACCTGGGAGGGAAATGCAGCCTTGTTCCCCAAGTGGCACCAGCATCAGTTCATACAGGTGTGTTTTCAGCCTGTGCTCATGAACTTGACTGCACTGGGGGTATCAAATGCAAATTTACCAGGCATATAACTGTGTGGATCACTCATTGGCAGAAATAGCCCCATGTTTCCTCTGTATCTGTGTTAGAGATTTTAAAGTGAAATATTTACACACATGTAAAATCTGAGGGGTATGCCAAATACTTCCATGTTTATTTAGATCACCTTTCTTTTTTTTAATATAAAATTATCAGTTAAAAAAAAGTAAAAGTGATACATAGTACTAGCAGCAGTGCACATTCCCAGCCCTATCATTCCCCGCAGTAGGGTAGAAGCAAAGTTCACCTGAAGTTTACCAACAACCCCTGACTATCTCCTTCACTAATAAGCCTAATGCTGAAAACCACTCTCAACATTAGGTTATTTTGTTTACACAGTAGCTGTATATATCCAGATATTTTATTTAAAACATTAACAAAATCTTCTGACCTTGGGAGGAAAACAAATCCAACATTCCGAAGTAGAGAAAGAATGAGGAAAGGAGTAATATGTTCTTTGGCACCTCTTTAACAAGCTCATTAGTAAAATCCCAGTTTGGGGGCTTGTCACCAATGAATGAAGAGCTGCAGGAGAATTATCCTTCTCAGGATGAATAAAAAGCAGTCAAGGGATAATACTTGGTTCATGTTTCTAATCATTTACCTACAATTTGGTCCATTTCTTCATTTACTAGTCAGTTCTCCTAAAATAAAGAACAAAACTATACCTTTGGTTACAGCGTTAACTCTTTTGGTGTAAGAGCTGATGCCTCGGTTTTGCTCGTCAGGTAGACTTCTCGTTATCTTCACCCATCTTCTGAACCCGTGAATACTTTTTGCAGGATGATTTGAAGCAGCCAGGAGGCCAGGATAGTGGCCAGGAGAAACAGCAAGGAATTGAGCCTTGTACATTTTTCTCAAAAAAATAAAAGATGGGGAACCACCATGCTCGAGACAAGAAATTAGTCTGTGAAGAGACCTTCAAGTTCTGAAAAAGGTGGGAAAGAAGTAAAATTAGACATACTTTTCATGATTTGTATCCAGATTTTTTTCTTAATTAAATTGTCATTCACTGTAACCTAACACGGAAAGCAACATAATCCTGATCTTATGGCAGTAATTGTCTTTGTGCCTTGCTCCTAATTCTGCTGTCATCCTGGTCCCCCCTGCAAATTTTACGTAGTGCTTTTCCAAACTCTCTGTGGCTCGCTGCAGTTGCTCACTTCTGCCTGCAATTCCAATGAGAATGGAACTCAGGAATGGATATGAGAGTTATTCAGGAGGAATAATTCTCAGGATCTGTAAGTAGTCAGATCTGCGGGTCAAGGAAGATGAAAGAGAGAAAAGAGAGTCTAGAAGGTTGAACATATTTAAGAGGAAAGATGAAAGTTTTGTTTTAGTGGTGTCAATAGATGCCTAGGTAGAAGTATAAGAAGGAAAAAGAAGACTGAAGTTACCCAGAGAAATAAAGTAATCCACAGAAAAGCCATGTATTAGTGGACACTACCAACAGAGATAATATTGCAAAAATGAGAGCTGGATTTAGATTCTTTGGGAATGATGTATCTCAATTGCTTGCAAGTTCTGCAAACATTCCATGTGCCACACAATTTGGCAAGGCTATCCAAAGATAAGTAAGTCATGGTACACAAGCTAATTCTATTACACCAAGGGCACACATCAAAGCTAGGGAAACACACATAAGAGAAGGAATAATTCTACACTGGGGCTAGAGCAAGAGAGCAGGAGTCAGGGAAAGCCTCCCAGTGGAGGTTGTGTTTGAGCTAGCTTTTTAAGAATGAATGGCAGAAGAAATAAAAGGGCATCTGGGAGTAGGAAGTAGTAGAAACAAATAAGAAAAGAGGAGAAGCCAGAGAGCACAATATCACCAAATCCAGTAATTCACAAGCTACTTATTTTGCCTGTTTCTTTTCTTTTAATGGAGCCCTGGTGGCACAGTGGTTAAGAGCTTAGCTACTAACCCAAAGGTCAGCAGTTTGAATCCACCAGCCACTCCCTGGAAACCCTTCGGGGCAGTTCTACTCTGTCCTAGAGGGTCGCTATGAGTCAGAATCAACTTGATGGCAACAGGTTTGGTTTCTTGGTTTATTTTCTTTTAATAGCTATCATCTTTTCCTCAAAATTAATGTAAGTTCTTTGAGGGAAGACAGCGTCTTACCTAGCTGCACGATGGTGCTTCTACAGAGAAGGTTCCTACATTTTAATTTAGCATATATCCTTCTTCAGTTCTAGTATATTAGTAAACTACCGTGCCGTATAATTTTATAGCATTTTTATCCTTAATGTCATTTACATCTGTGAAGTTCTTTATTTTGCTTTACTTTATGAAGTTTAAGTGAATTGTCCCAAACCATATATTTGAGTGGCAACAGCAGTTATTCGCATTAACTGATCTGAGTCCCCACTGTAGGAAAAGAGGTTGACTGCATTCAAAGAAAAGAATCATCTAAGAACTTCTTCACTGCTCTCACCTTTTCATTGGCCATTGAATGGTACCACCAGAACAGCCGTGTTGTGATATAATAAGCAATGATCACATCGACAGTATAGTGTTCATGTGCTACAAGAATGCAGATGATCCCGGCAGCACTCAGCAGCCAACAGATTAAATGATACCACCAGAAGTGACGAGGCGAATCTGGACAGTAGAAAAATTAAAGAGTTAATAAGATTCCCAGAGATGAATTTAATGATCACAGTCTGTACCAATGAACTTCAGCATCCTAATGAACTTAAGTAGAATAATCTAGAGTCAGGAAATCACTGGAAGGAGAAAACTGATCATCAAAAATGAGTCACTATCTGTTGTGAGATTGTTAACCATTGTCATAGGGCAACATTTGTAGTAACTGTTAAATGAGAAACTATTTTGTTGTGTAAGCCTTCATCTTAAGTGAGAATAACAGCGCAATTGGAAGAGCATAGTCAATGTCACTGAACTGTGCATGTAGAAATTTTTGAAATGGTGTATCTTTGGCTATGTGTATTTTTACCAAAAAAAAAGGTTGAGAAGTTAGAGGGTTAATATGTTGTGGGGTTGTTAACCAATGTCATAAAACAGCATGTGTACTATTGTTTCATGAGAAACTATTTGTTCTGTAAGCCTTCACCTGAAGTACAATAAAATATTTAAAAAAAAAAATGAGTTACTATGAACCGCTCATGTTCTGGTAGCAAGGGGGAACCACTGGTAGCAGGTCTAATGGTCATTCACTAGTGATGGTAGTAGCATGAGATACTCCAGGTCTTGCCCACTGCTAATGAGCTGTTTAATAAGGAACAGAACAGAACTGTTTTTTATTAGGTTGGTTGGAATTGGCTCATACTGGTTCACATAGGTACCTGCTCTGGAAAGAAAAACAGTAGGGGTCAAAAAAAAAAAAAAAAAGGTAGTTGTCTATGAAAATAAGAAAAAAAAATGAGAGCACAGGAATAATTTTAGCTCTTATATAAATTTACTTTTACTTCTCCGGGGGAAACATTAAAAAAAAGATGGCATGTGTGGATAGCAAAATTTTGATTCTTGGCAATTTTACAGTTACTTCCAAAGGCAACTATAAAGTACTCCCTATGTAAAGCTTAAAGAAGCCCCAGTGGCGCAGTGGTTAAGGACTCGGCTGCGAACCAAAAAGTCAGCAGTTCGAACTCACCAGCCATACTTTCTGAAGAAAACTGTGGTAGTCTGCTTCTGTGAAGATTACAGCCTTGGAAACCCTATGGGGCAGTTTTACTAGGTCCTATAAGGTTGCTTTGAGCCGATACTGACTCCATGGCACACCACAATAGAAACATGTAAAGCTTGGAGTCCCTGGATGGTGCAAATGGTTAATGTGCTCAGACACTAACTGAAAGGTTGGAGGTTCGAGTCCACCCAGAGGCATGTTAGAAGAAAGACCTAGTGATCTACTTCTGAAAAATGAGCCATTGAAAACCCTATGGAGCACAGTTCTACTCTGACACACATGGGGTTGCCATGAGCCGAAGTTGACTTGACAGCTGTGTAAAGTTTAGGATTCCTGCTCATTCACTTACAGATTTTAGCCTCATTGAGTACACTAAGAAATTCATTACATTGCTCAGCGATAAGAGAGAACTGGAGTACTCAGGTTAAACATAATCATACAACTACTTCTCATACAATGCTAATGACGTGGATAGAATTTGAGCCAATAACTTCAACAATTGCTTCTTGTTTCTTTTTTCTATTTTAGAACTTTATTAGTTCACAGTAAGAATTAATAATCCTGAAATTGATTTCACGTTTAGCTGTATTTACAATCATAGTGACATTTACTTTTAAGAAGAATGGATGAATAACTTCAGATGAAATACCAAATCAGGTATCAACAAGGTATCATTTGAATAAAAATTATATTTTTTAAATGGACTTTTGCTCTTTTGGTTCCAAGGGTAACAGTAAGAAAATAAACCTGAATTTGCATTTGAAAGTCTGATTTTCTGATTTTCAGTATGTTCCTCATCACTTCTCAATTGTTTCACTCTGCCACTAAGTTCTGGCAGATAACTCAGGGACTCCTAGAATTTAATTCTGGGAGAGACATTAACATGGTCTGGGGGGCCAGATCCAACCCCCATACCTATTCTGTAGGCTCACAATGTTAAAAAACTGAACGAACATTTAGAAATCTGCAGATTTCTGGAAAATCTGGATTTCTGACTTCTCTGCAAAAGATAAGGTAACCTGGAAACAATGGTGCTACGTTTCTACTTGGCTACAGTTGGCAAGAGCTTGAGTAGCACCTTCTCCCTTCAGAGTAAATATGAATTCTTCAGCACCACAGACCTTACCCTTCCCTAAGGTCTCACACCAACCCTGCTTCCCTTCCTTATAGGTCATCTGGCATTTACCTCCAACATTCAAAATGTGTGGGCAAAACCAGAATTATTCTGTGTGTTTATTCACAAGAAGCAAAGCTGAAGAAGGTAAGAAGTAGCCTGAACAGTCATTGCACAACTTGTGGAACTGAAAATGAGGTTTTAGGAGTGGCTGGAAACCCTAGCACTATTCTCCCATAAAAATGTATTCCTTAATTACGCTACCATGTTGGGACCACTGCTCATTAATTAATTGAGACAACTGGCAGAGCCAAATAAAATATTTCATATAAACTATTTTAAAATAGAAATGACAAAATGGTGATCCTCTCTTCTCTTTTCATGCTACCCATAGGAATTCACCAAGTTAAAAAAGATGACAACAAATATTAATTAACGTCACCGTCAGTGTAGAATCCTAGCCTGAATAATAGAAACAATGGGTTTTGTGTCATGGCAAAGTTAAAAAAAAAAAAAAAGGAGTTCTTAACTAGTGAAAGATTTGGTACTAACGGCTAGGCTGATTTCTCCAGGCTAACTTTATAAAGAACCTAGGTCCCAATTATAATATTTGCGCAGCTTGATAAAGCCCTCTCTTCCTAACCCTCAAAACGGTCTTGGTCCCACGTATTCAGCTGTTCGCACAACTAAATTTAAATCCACTCATTACAATGAAGCAAGCAAGGAAAGAGTCCAAACTAATCAAAAGGCAGAAAAGCAAAAATATACACACGATGCATCTAATTCTAGAAATCAACTTCAAAGACACCACTGAAAGCACTGCTTACTCAGAACAACAATGCATAGTATAATTTCGAAGGTGACTGCTTTTCCTAATTGCATAGGAAACAGGCACAAACATGGAACGCCCTGTTTATGTACAGAGCTGACTATAAAGTTAAGTTTGTGTTAAGCATTACAGCTTTGCATTTTATTTCTCACCAAAAATCTCAAAGAGCAGAATGTAATTCTTTCTACACTGTATGTAAATCTACAAAATTTTAAAAACCTCAAACCAGAATCATATCTTAGGTAGAAAATGTCTCTACATACTGTGTGGCTTTTATTAAAGAGTGAAAATAATCACGAGTTGCCTGACTATTGCTCTGGGGTAAAAGAAAGAAGAAAAATGAGCAATATACTTTGCTTGTAGGCAAATAGACTATATCTTGGAAGTTCTGTAAGATCAGACAACTTGGGTTTCCAAAAATTCTAAACACAGCCAAGAAATTAAGAGCATAATCTCTGCAGTCAGCCTGCTTGAGTTTAAATACCAGATCTTCCAATTACTAGGTGTGAACCTTGCCTGAGTCGCTTACTTTCTTAGGCTTCAGTTGCCTCATCTGAAAAATGGGGATAATAAATAGTGCCTCCTTCACAGGACGGTTGCAAAGATTAAATGAGTTAATTCATGTCAAGCACTTAGAAATCTGGCCTAGAGTAAGTAAGGAGTTCCCGCTTGGTGCTAACAGTTAAGTGCTTGACTACTAGTCAAAAAGTTGGCCGTTCAAACCCACCAAAAGGCGCCTCGGATGACAGGCCTGGTGATCTGCTTCCAGAAGGTCACATCCCTGAAAACACTATGCAGCACAGTTTACTTGATACGCCCGGGCTCGCCATGAGCTGGAATAGACAACTAACAATAATCTAACACCAAAAACAACAACAGAGTAAGTTAATAGCTAACTCTGTCTGCTTGCTACTGTTATTGTTAATATTGTGTGGTCTTCAGTTAATTTCTAAAACTGACTCTCAGTATCATGGATGTTTTTTCTTCACTGCTTTATGGTTTTCAGTCCACAGCTGCTTCACTCTCACATGTGACTCCTCCTCACCCCCACTCCCAGCCCCTTCCACGAGCTCTTCATGACACTCAGATTGGAGGGAAGATCCTACAACCTAAACACACCTCTGGAGTAGAAGATGATTGAGCTTACATACAGATAGAACCTTCCTGGGCAAAAGCTAGACAGAACCATAAACAACATGTATCACTCCCCACAACACCCGGCACCAATGACCAAGTATTAGAAATACTGAAATTTAAGGGAGACCTAGGCCTGTCTCTGATCTTGATGCAGAGACAGGCCTAGGTCCCTTTTCCACCCCCTTTTAGTGTGAGAGTAGAGGAAAGGTGCAGAAGGCCCTTAGCCTTGAAGTCAAGCACGATGAAGGCCCTCAGTTAACACGCTACTCTCCCTACTGTAAGTGTGTATGTTGAGTTTACCAAGATAACAACATAGAAGCTATATAAGTCTCACAATGTTAAAAGGCTTTACTTTACCTACTATAAACCCAAATCCATTGCTGTTGAGTCAATTCCAAGTAGAACTGCCCCATAGGGTTTCCTAGGCTATAATCTTTATGGAAGTAGACTGCCACATCCTTCTTCTGTGGGGAGGCTGGTGGGTTCGAACTGTTGACCTTTCGGTTAGCAGCCAAGCGCTTATTCACTGTGCCATCAGGGCTCCTTCATCTACTATACAGAATCTCAAATCTTTGTCTTATTACCCTCAGAGCAGAACTTAAACCTAAAACTCCAAGCAATCTATGGGGCATGATTTCATTTCTGTCCCACTGGAAGATAAACCTTGATGTCCACAGTACCATTAGGTCAGACCACACCTGTTTGGATTGATGAAGGGCCAAGGGAGGAGGCAGGATGAAGGAAGACAGGAGAGAGGGTATCTCCTTCTGCTAGTCTCTGCCCCACGACTTCCTTTACAATATGCTAAGTAAAGAGAATTGAGATAAACATCTTAAAAAACAGTGGCTTTGGGTATCTTGGAACTAATTTAAGAGTGAAGATTAGCACTGACTACCTTGTGAAAAAGGAAGTAGCATCACTACTTCAAAGGTATTTTGAGATAATGGGCTTATATATACAAAACCTAAGAAATCTATAAAAATGGGATCTGCTAGGCAGCTGAAACAAAATACAACCCCACAATGGACAGGGCATTATTCTGGCCATAGAAAGCAACTGGAATTTAAAAAGATTTTATACAATGGGAATTAACTGTATAAATAAGAAAAGATATTTCACATTCTTGCATTTGTGTTTAGATTGAAAAAGACAATCGCTTAAAAAGAAAATGATCAGTATTGGCAAAATGTTCCACAGTGATGCCTGCTAAAGCATAGAAACTGGCTGAAAAATGATAAAACTGGAAGAAAGAGGGACAAAGATAAGTCTTAAAAAGGGGAAAACATTAACAGAATTGTCTGGAATGACAGAATGGAAGTGTCAAATAAATAATTTGAAAGTCTTTTAGCTTTAGAATGCACCAATTCTCTTTGCAATAAACGTATCAATTAGGTTCTTCTAAGTTCCAGTATTAAAATAGCTTTTCATTTTGAAGGCATGTGAAATGCTAGATAGAAGACAGGGCCAAGTTTTAAGCTTCAGTGTTCAAACCATTTATATATAGATGTATATATTGTTCACAGCTATCAGTACCGACAGAAGAAACACTCCCATCAGTTTCAAGGCCTAGGGTTAACCTCCTACTGTAGCAATCAATCAATAAAGTGGGAATGAGCTATTACTTACATTCTTTGATGAACAAATAAGTAAGTGTCAGCACAACGGTGTGACCACTGAAGAGGAAGTCTCCGCACAAGATATGTGATCCAGTTATGGACAATCCACCACCAGAAATCAGCCGTAGAATCCGTTCTACTTTTGCCTGAGAGTTTCCGTTGAGCTGAATGACACATAAAGATTAGGAAGGACATTGACAAACTGATAATGTCTTAGCCTAGTCTGTGTGACACCTAGAAAGGTCATCACATTGTGATTTTATTTGTTTGATCTAAAAAGTGGAAAAGAATCCAAGGAGGAAGAGAGGGAAGCTCCTTGAATTGGGTTTTATTCATCGTATTGGCGAGTTTTATTGATAAGTTTAAATTATTCAACATGTTACTAATAATATGTTTTGGTGGTGGTGTGTCCTTGGACAAAGCTTTTAAAAGTATTAATAACCAATGACTTCACCACAGCTATGAGCTAAAAAACAGGTCAAAGCTCCTTTCTCTCCCTTTTGCAAGGGGGAAGTCAGGGTTTTGGATGGTTAATATTTGATTCTGCTGCATACCACATAACTAATATTCTGCAGTATGTGGATGCGTTGTATTAAACGCACAACCTAAAGGGTGTGCATATTTTTATTAATGTCTGATCAAAACATTTACAGTTAAAACAGGAGCTGCAACAAATTAAATAATTTAAATAGGTTTGAAAATGGTGGATTGGTGAGGTAACGGCAGGTTAAAAAAGGAGACACCCCCTCCTCGGACAAGGGTGTGGAGGCCTCTGGAATCTACTGTGATGATATGAGAGTTGCGAGCCCATGCGAAACGATGCGCAAGGGCTGGAGTTTGAGGCAATGGTCACAAGTTATAGCCCATTAGAATTTAAGCATACAGGAAGGAGTAGTAGACTTGAATTTGTCAAAATGGTAGGCATGGAAAATTGGAATACTGAAATGTTGGGGGGCCAGATGGAGGGACTCAAGCCAGTCTAGTAAAAAAGGGACAAGACCTTCACAATAGGCTTAGAAAAATCAAAAAAAGACCACCGACTGCTCTGACAGGGATCACAATAGAGGGTCCTGGAAAGATTGAGAGAAAAAGGTAGGGCAAAATTCAAATTCATACACACACACAAAGATCAGGCTTGTTGGTCTGACAGAGACTGGAGAAACCCCAAGAGAATGGCCCCTGGACATTGTTTTAACTCAGTACTGAAATCACTCCTCAGGTTCACCCTTTAGCCAAAGATTAGACAGGTCTATAGGGCCACAAAAATAACATGTGAGGGACGTGCTTCATAGTTCAATCATGTATATGAGACTAATGGGCACATTAGCCCCAAAGCAAAGATGAGAAGGCAGGAAGGGACAGGAAAACTGAACAAATGGAAACAAGGAACCGCGGGTGGAGAAGGGGAGAGTGCTGACACTTTGCTGGGTTGGCAACCAATGTCACAAAACAATTTGTGTATTAACTGTTTAATGAGAAGCTTGCTCTGTAATTCGCTCTGTAAACTTTCACCTGAACCACAAATAAAAAAAAAAAAAAAAACAGAAAAATCAAAGAAGAATGATACTCAGAAAAAGACTGAGTAATAGAACACAGGAGAAGAAAAGTATAGAAAGACTATTGTTAGGTGCCATCGAGTAGGTTTTGACTCATAGTGACCCCGTGTCTGCCCCATAGGGTTTTCCAAGCTTTAATATTTATGGGAGCAGATTGCCAGGTCTTTGTCCTGAGGAGCCTTTGGGTGGGTTCAAACCACCTTTCAGTTAGCAGCTGAGCATTTTACCATTGTGCCACCAGGGCTCCTTCGAAAGACTATTATTGACTATAAATTTGGGACCTGGGGGACAGGTGTCTAACATGGTGCACCAAGAGAAACTACGTATTTTGCTAAGAATAGACAGTCCCTAAACAAAAACATGCCAAGCACTAGGAGTTCCTGCCTTGAAAAGACAGACTCTAGAAGGCAATAAAGGATCCAGACCCTAGCAAGACAAGAGGACTGTTGATAGAGCTGCAGCACTCAACTTCAGGCACACCTCAGCTATGGCATATTACAAAGCACAGCTACAGGCTTTATCGGATCAGCCACGTCCTTCAGGAATTTCTTGTCATGACATTGGTATGAACCACCGTCAACACCAAGATCAAGTACAAAGATACACACACTCTGTCCTGGCCATTGTGTTCCCAGTTTTAAAAGAACATATTATTCTTAATTTCAATATCGTACTTTTTTTTTTTTTTTAAATCTCCTCACCCATCCCAACTGTGTATTCTAATTTTTCAAGGGCAGAAACACTTGAAACAGCTGACGGCCGAAACAGCCATCAGCCCCGTTATTTGGGGCCCAAAGGTATAAACAAACTAGAAGCTAAAATAAGCCACACATTTCTCTTCTCACTTTCTTTCAGCAGTGTTGGTGTATGGAGATTTTTGATAGCATTTGATTCACTATGTCTTCAACAGAACACAGGAAGGACTCTTCTTGATATTTCTGTCTTTTCTTAGTCCTTAATTCCTCAATCCTGTTAGTGCTACCCTGAGATGTCTGATCATGCTCAGTATAAATGCTAAATAGAACCTCAAGAAAGGAAGGAAAAAAGAAAAGAGGGTAGAAAGAAAACAGGGGAGGGGAGAGAATAGTGAAGGTTAGGATTTGTTTTTTTTTTAGTTCTGTTCTAGCTCACTGGGATGTCCCTCATCACACATCACTTAAGACTCTAGTTCCTACTAATTTCCTCCTTTTCAGACATCTTTCTATACTATTACTGGATGTAGAAATGAAGATACAGAAACTTAAGAGGAGAAGCATCAATTGCCATAGTTTAAAACTATTTTGAGCCTCCTTAAGGGTTCCTCAAAACTAGGACCTCCACACACTACTTTCCACAAAAATCAATTAGCTACAGCAGAGCCTAACCTGGCTGCTGCCACACCAGAAACCTTACCATCCACACTGTCCCTTCAGTGAATAAGAGAAGACCTTTGTTGCTTTCCCAACTTAACTTTCTTCTACGTGGCAAAATGGGTTTGAAGCACTAAATCATTACATGTAAGCCCTAAGAAGTGGGCCAAGATTAAAGAACACAAGTTTAGTGACTGCAAACCAAAGTATGGGTTGGTAGTTGAACCAAATTATATGCAAAGGATTTACAGTCAACCATGGGATAGAAAACTTAGATAACCAAGGATTGCACCAAGGGACCTACGGCTGGGATGGCTTGGGGTGATCACATCTGGCGGGTTACAAGTTTTATTAGATATCAGTTATTGGATCTGACATCCTCCTCCCACAGCAAGTGGTTTCAGTAGCCACAGTTCTGTCATTGCTCATATTCACAAAGGGCATTCTATAGAGTCAGCGACAAAGGAGACAGGTAAATTACCTAATAGCCTGCGACCACAAAAATCTAAAGCACTCAAAGCCAGCTCCTGAACCACATTTAGAATGCAGCACTGTTCTAATAACACAGCATCACCGCTAGTCAGACAAAGTGATTTGTGTTTGTTTTACTGAATCACAATACAGGCACCTATAGCCTGCTTAGGCTTCAGGAAGAGGCTCTGACATGAACGTGGGATGTTACCCGAGTTTCCGTTACGAGTATATGTAGGTTGGTTATCCAGTGGCACATTTACTGATGTGGCTTCTGAAAATTGTAACTCTTCATAGAAGATAATCTTTAATTTACTTTCTTTCTGTAATCATAGCAATTCATCCCTGCAAACCTCAACCATTACTGGGATGCCTTCACATCTGTGACCATTTCTCCATTTAACACTTCACAATAACCCCCTTAGAAGTGTTTATTATGCTTCTGAACTCCTCCTATGCCTTAAATTAGTTTCACTAAAAATCAGCCAAATGTTTAAATTCAATATGTACACTGTTTGAATTACAGATACTTTATGCTTTGATGGCTTTGGAAAATTATAGCTTCTCCAAACCACACCTATATTTGGTGAGAGAGACTGTTGACTTCTTTACAGCAACTCTATTTTTCCTTCTACCTCAGACATCTGCTTAGTGTTCAGTAAAATATGATGTTAGACTTCATTCCCTTATCCAGAAGCACATGACTTGTAAGTTTCCATTTTTACAAAACCAGGGCACCTTGGGGTCTCAAGATGATTAACAGCTCTCTGGAGAATGGACTCGTAACTGGAAAAACTGATTAAAAACTGCTGAAGACAGTTTCAGCATATATCCTCATACCACATCGCAGCAAAAGACCGCTCTATCTTTCCAGTTGCTCAGGATAAGAACTTTGGAGTTCTCCTTAATTTCTCTCAAACCCCACTTAGCATGTCCTGTTGATTCTATCTTCAAAGTGTATTCAGAACAGAACTAGTCACCACTTCCACTGCCACCACCAAGGTTCAAGTTCTTACAATGGGCCATAAGGCCCCATGGGATCTGTGACTTACACCACCCTGACCCTTTACAACTCCACTCAGCCACACTGGTCTCCCTGCTCTTCCTGAAACCCACTGTGACTAAACTATTTTCTTGGCCTGAAGCTTTCATCCTCCTACCTGCTCACTCCCTCATCTTTGTGCCTGCCCAAATGCTTTCTTATTAAAGAAACCTTCCCAGACCTCTATATCAAATAGGACTACCCTTATTCTCTTTTACTCTTACTTCGTTTTATTGTTTTCATCTGACAATCACTTGATTTAACACTATCTGACACATTGTGAATTCACTTTTTTTTTCTTTGTCATCTATCATCTCTTAATAGACTATAAGCTCCAAAAGGAGATGGATTTTGTTTTGATCACTGTTGTCACCTCAATGCCTGGTACATAACGGGAACTTAATATTTGTAGAATGAATGCAAGAGTGAGTTAATAAATGAGAAGGAAAGAAGAGTCAAATAGCCAATGGTAATTTTCAGTTAGACGAAAACAAAATTTCATGCACAAGGATATATATTTTATGGATACAATTTCTTCCCCCCAAAATCTGGAGAAAAATAGAAAATATGCTAGACTTTAGTTAACACATATGAAAGTGGCTAAAAGAATGTATGAGAGAGAGCAAGTGTTCCATACCTTTTCTCAGTTTCCTTTAAAGAGTAACTCAGAGGTGCTTACCTTTGGAGCACACTGGAAATGCATTCCAGGCACAGGGAGAGTAGTAACGTACATCGTAATACAGCGATACAGGTATAAAGTTCCTATGATAAAAAAGAATCTGCGCCCCACGATTGACCTAATGGAAAAATACAGACAGGGAAAAACAAGTTTACTGGTTGTTTTTGTCCCTGATGCAATATAAAACTGTGCTTAGCAGAATAAAGAATAATTTAATACAGAATGCATTAACAAACCAACCACAGTTTCACCGAGTTTAAAGGCTTGTTTGTGAGCTGCCCATCGCTAAATTCCAGGGAGGGATTGCACCACAGTTTTCAGAAATGAGAAGTTACATACTTCAATCAATCTAGGTGGTTTGGGGCCCAGAAGGAATGAGTCTTAGAGGGGAGCTAAGTAGACTCAGAGTTCTAGAAAAATCATCTCTCTAAAGAAAGTCACTCTTTGCCAGATAATTCAATGAGCCTCTATGTCTGTAGTCACTCACTGCATTAATGAAACCCTCTCTTGGGAACATATCAAAGGTATAAGTGAGTCGTGGTCACAGAGGAATTAACTAATGAATCAAGGTGATATCACATAATTGGACACATAGGGAAATGTGACAAACTAATTTAACCTAAGTTACATAAACGAGGTTTATTTGGGGACCATCTAAAAGTATTTTAGCAACTTGGGCATGAATGATTTTCTCTATGACTAAATAGATTTTCAGGGAATTAATTGTGAAGAGGTCCATTTTGTCCTCATGGTGAAGCTATAAACTGATTAGTTTACTCTGATTTCATTCAATCTTGATCAAAAAAGGTAACAACAACCAACAAATCCTACAAGTCCCTTTTCACTTTCTATTTTTCTTGTGGAGATATTTGCTTGACTAATATTGGTTCTTTTCCTTCAAGACCTCAGTCCTTAGCCTAAGGCAGGGGTTCCCAGTTGCTGATGTGGACTACACTGTCCTCCAAAGGGAAGGCCTCTGCCCATTTGCATCATTGCCTCATGGGTACCTGAATGGGCATGAAGGGTTCTGAGTGTCCTCACTTCCACCTGAAGATGGAAACTCCTTTACTCTTGTGTATTTGGAGGGTAAGTCTATAATCCCTGCACTCGGGAGATTTAAGAGCTGAGTGGTGCCATTTGTTTTGTTTGTTAAGTGCCATCGAGTTGATTTGGACTCATAGCAACCCCAAGCAACCCCATGCACAACAGAATGAAACACTGCCGGGTCCTGCGTCATCCTCACAATCGTTGATATGTTTGAGTCCACTGTTGCAGACACTGTGTCAATCCGTCTAGTTGAAGGTCTTCCTTTTTTTTTTTTTTTTTGCTGACCCTCCAATGTATCAAGCATGATGTCCTTCTCCAGGGACTAGTCATTCCTGATAACATGTCCAAAGTAAGTGAGAAGAAGTCTCACTATCCTCACTTCTAAGGAAAAATCTGGCTGTACTTTTTCCATGACAGACTTATTCATTTTTCTGGCAGTCCATGGTATATTCAATATTCTTCACCAACAGTGTAATTCAAAGGCATCAATTCTTCTCTGGTCCTCCTTGCTCATTGTCCAGCTTTTACATGCATATGAGGCAATTGAAAATACCATGGCTTGGGTCAGGCGCACCTTAGTTCTCAAGGTGACATTTTTGCTTTTTAACACTTTAAAGAAGGTCCTTTGCAGCAGATTTGCCTAATGAAATGCGTCTTTTGATTTCTTGACTGCTGCTTCCATGGGTGTTGACTGTAGATCCAAGTAAAATGAAATCCTTGACAACTTCAATCTTTTCTCTGTTTATCATGATGTTGCTTATTGGTCCAGTCATGAGGATTATTTTTTTCTTTATGTTGAGGTGTAATCCATACTGAAGACTGTGGTCTTTGATCTTCAGCAGCAAGTGCTTCAAGTCCTCTTCACTTTCAGCGAGCAAGGTTGTATCATCTGCATATCGCAGGTTGTTAATGAGTCTTCCTCCAATCCTGATGCAGTGTTCTTCATATAGGCCAGCTTCGAACATTATTTACTCCGCATACAGGCTGACTTGTTTGTCTGTTTGTCGTACTATGGAGGCTTGCATGTTGCTGTGATGCTGGAAGCTATGCCACTGGTATTTCAAATACCTGCATGGTCACCCACGGTAGGCAGATTTCAGTGGAGCTTCCAGACTAATACAGACTGGGCAGAAGGACCTGGTGATCTACTTCTGAAAAAATTGGCTAGTGAAAACCTTACGGATAGCAGCGAAACATTGTAATTCCCCTAGAACATAAAACGTACTACTCTAACTCTCCCATTTCCAGAGTCTCACACTTTCAAAACTGGTACTGATCAAAGACTTCTGGAAAAACAGGCAGCTTCAGGCATGTGATGTATTTAAAGTTTTGTCCAAAATTGTAGTTTTAGTACGGATCAAAGTCTAATTCAGGTAACTGTCAGGACTTCTAATTTAAAGAATTATGTACAAATATGTATATTAGATGCCTGTCTCTCCAACAGCTATTTTAAGAATATTCCACAGGCTTCCTAGGGTCAAAATACAGTAACACCACCTAGACTGGTAGACGAAAGTACCTATTTATTCCAAGGCATTTCTTTGAAAGGCTTTCTATTTTAGCTCTGCCTCCTCTGGTACAAAAAAGTAATGGATAATTAGTTTTGAATACCTCCCCTTGATTAAATGAAATATGATTCACCCTGTGATTCAACACCAGACCCCAAAGGTTCTGTTCTGGATGTTGCTTCACTTTGTTACACAAGGTAAAGTTATCAGCAGGAATTATGAGTCGAGTATATTCATTCCAGCCTTTTAAGTATAGCTGTACACAGAACTGAAAACTTCCTCAGAGGGTGAAACGTTTACTCTGAGTAAACGTTTCACTTTACTACTATTAATGAATTTACTTCCCTAACTTTGAAAAATGCTTTAAAACAAGACAGAGCAAGTAGGGTTTCCGATTCAGCTGGGATATTCAAAATAGACAGTAGAGATTATTCCACTAATTATTAAAATATAAGATCCAGTTCTAACTCAAAAGTAAAAGTACAAACTACTGTCACTCCCCCACTCCCCTCATTTTTTATGCTGAGTTGTGATTGAAACATCATGGAAATGTGTGGCCCAGCTATGGAATCATGAGTTTTGACATGTTAAAATTCAAGGTGGTAACGGAGAGGCAATTACAACAACTATCCAGATGAAGATCCAAGGAAACTGAGTTGAAGACTGTACTTCAGGGTGGAGGCCCTGGACAATTTCTCTTTTCACGTACACATGAATAAAACTTTGCTCTGAATTCAAGGAGACAGCAAATATCTATGGCCCAAGCAGGCTTTCTTACATTTAGTGCTAATTCCACTCACTAAAACGAAAAACAATAAAGTTCAACAAATGTATTCTTTGTTTTAAGCATAAAGCATGCTAAGTAAAAGACAGTTGAGAACTATGAAGAATACTCTGAGATATATTAAGGAAAATGCTTAGGAATGACTTCAGCTTTTGGAATAAGTTTTCAAAACCATAATGTTGTATTTGGGGAACCCTTTAGCAAAGATAGATTGAATTCCTCTAATCTCAAACAGCAACCAATTGAAAGAATATAGCATAAATTCTCTCTTCCAAAATGATCTTGGCATTCATACTGAAATTCCATTTCACTTTGAATTTTCTTAATTATATTGACTAAGTTTTGCTGTCTGTATGATATCCATTGTTCCTCGGTCTTCAGATCAAAAAGGAGATACGGTCAAGCTCTCATTCTCTGTGGAAACTTAAATATTTTTTAATCCTTCTAGTTCTAAGATCAACATGGACGCCTACATTTTTTAAAGCCCTGGTTTATGTTTTGCTCAAACTTATATTTTACTTGATTTAATTACTAGAATCTTAGTAGAGAACAAACATTCAAGTGGTGAATGAGATGAAAAGGCAAATTGAGGGGATTTATTTATTTTTTGGACCAACAGCCAGAATTCACACAGGGAAGCAGAAATAACCACTTCAGAGCTCTGTCCAATTTTTCAGTGTCTTCAAAGTAAAAATACCTGACCTACTACTTCCTTATTCCTGCTGTTCCAAAATGGGAAGCCTGAAACCAATGAACTAAAAGCTCCTTTGTGGTGCCATGGGAGAAACAGAAGGTACGTTTACTTTAGAAATCTAAAACCCAAACCACACAGGTCCAGTTCTAAATTCATTTTCTTAAACAAACTCTTGTGACTGGACTGCCAACAGAGGCAAACCTTAAAGCATGCTATTGACTATAGACCAATATAGTCATCACATTATGAGTAATGGATAAAAGAGCTTCCTGCCCTACCCTTTCCCTTCCTGTCAAGAGCCTGAAATAAAACAAACATGATAAAGTGAAGTTATTCCCTTCCAAGCCCCTTTATGTGTCATATTAATACCGCGGTGTCAAGTTCTTGTAATCAGGAACTGCACCTTAAATTCATAAACTGAATCACTCAACATAGCACTTGCCACTTTCACACAGAGTTGCGCAATAAACGTGTATTGAATATTGACTGAATTTATTCAATGTGGTAGACCTTTCTGCCGCTTCCGTCCTTTTATCAAATGCCTCAACAAGACTGACTTTATCAGACAAAACTGAGAAAGATAATTTCAATTATACATCTGCTTACTTAAACTAATAGCAAACCCCCCAAAAAACATATTAGACCTACTTACTTGTATCTCAGAAACAGCCACTGGGTGATCCACAATCCAACTAATATAATCCCATTTATTTCTGATACAGAAAATGCCCATTTCACCCGATCAATGTAATCAAAAAACTTGTCTGGGAGTGGAGGGCTCAGTTCCTTGGGAGGGACCCTCTCATGTACAACTGTGATCATGACAGTTGTCAAGACCAGGTTGAAGAGAGCATACACAAAGGCAATGCCTGTTTTCCACCACTCTAGGGGAAATTTGTTCCTCGATTCAGTGGGCATTGCAATTTGGATATAGTCTGGGTACTTTTTGGTACCCTTTCGCAGCCCATTGGATAGGCTCTTAGGTTTACCATTGCCATTTTTGTTTTCTTCTTCAACAGGTTCAGCAGGTCTTGTGTAAGTGCTTGTAGGGTCATTGGTTTGGTTTTCCATGTGTTCTTCGAGTTTTGCTGTCTCTATGATATCCATTGTCCCCCAGTTTTCAGGTCAAAAAGGAGATGGTCAAGCTCTTCTATTTTGTGGAAACTTAAATCTTTTTAATCCTTCTATTTCCAAGATCAACATGTACTCTTACAACCGATTTGTTTTCTGACACAAAATGTAGAAAGTCAGCCATCTGGATACTGTTCCTCCCATGCAGCTATCTGTTGTACATTTGCCACTTTCAGGAAAGGAAGCCAATTCTCTTTCTCCAAAAGATGTTACTATGCCACCTGCAAAAATAAAACAATACTACGTTCAGAAAATGTGCTTGTCTGATCGTCAACCATCCAAACAACAACATTGTCAAAAGAAGGAAAGAAATACCAAAGCCATTCACTTTACAAATATATCGTCAGAACAAAGTTAAAGCTGCTGAGATCAAGTTTATTTATAAAATATTGAATTGTTTGATCTTGGAATTCTTGTCTCTATTTGGGCTGATGTCAATATAAATAGGAACACTCTAACAACCAATTCCCTTTAACATTCTTAAAATTCCCTTTAAAAGTCAAGACCCAACATCTCAAGCATTTCATCAGACATTATTACTTGTTGCTAACCATGAAGTCATAATAAGCTGGAACTTGCCTAGAGTTCACATCATTCCTTCCTAATGCTGGAGCTTTTCTATGAATCTTAAAGAATAAAAAGCTGTGATGAGTTACTTGCATGCATTGAATAATTGTTACTCTGCATTTGTCAAAACTGTCCGTTTTCTATTTTATTATAACAAAACTGGAGTCATTTATTTTAAGAACACAGTCAAGTTCAGCTACACATTCAAGATCTTTATTAAATTACCCTGCCTCAGTTTATACTTCTATAGTCAGAGATGCACATCTTACAGAAGGAGAGTTGGTAGTCTTCAAAATAACAATGCGATAAGATACACAAAGTCTTAGCTATGACTCATTTGATTACAAGAAGAATTTCCTACTTAAATGATAAAATAGTTTATTACAATTGACATGGAAAATTAATTACAAATAACATTTTGATAGTCATGAGCCACCAAGATTTCTTCTGAACAATAGAAACTGGCATCCAGAGGACCAGCTTGGAGTACTTACCACAGTACTGACGAGGAAAGGGGTGCCTTTAGCTTAAGCTCCAGACGCTCCAAGAGCACACACTGCTTCATAACACAGAGCACCACCATCAACTCTTTTATACTTGCCGACAACACAGCCCCAGCTGTTCTCAATTTAGGAAAGCAGTATTTTAGTTCTGCTAAGGAATCCAGCCACCTGAGGAGGTTTTCAAACCTTGTAATTAGTCCCCACCCTGCGTATGCTACACAAGTTGAGCATAACCCTTGGCATTTTAAAGGCTCCCATTTCGGGGTAACTTCAAGAGAAAATAAGAGGGAGGAAAAACTCAAAGTGGTGACAGCTAAGCCTTTATTTAACGAAAGAAAAATGAGAAAGTTAAAATGGCACAGTCAGGATGTAAGGCAATATTTGTTTACAGTAATGGGTGGCAAATAGATCAACCACAAGTGTTTATTGAGCACCTAAACACCCCAGTGCTGAGGAATATGTGAAGGGAATTCAAAGGCATTTTTAAAAAAAGACCTAGCCTGAACATTTACTCAAAGAGCTTGTAGACTCACTGGAGAGACAGAACTAAAACAACAAAACTATCGGAGAAGATTAAAAGGCCTATCGTGAAAGGAAGGAAAAGGATGAGGGGATCGCTACATAAAAATGGAGGTTTAATTGTAACTTATCTCTGCTCCCCTGACCAGCTGTGTGCACCAAAAAGCACTGTCCATTTCTGAGGAAGAGAGAACACGAGGAACGTTGGCCTGGTGGAGAAATGGAGGCTCACTGGAAGAGGAAAGGCCAGGAGATTGGCAGCAACTGGAAGTGGTTACTAAGAATTTTAGACACCTCGGCTTTCTCTTGTCCCTTTGAAAAGCCCCCAGCTACTAACACATTAGCACCAGGATGAGAAAAGACAAGGGCCCTCTCTGTAAAACAGGACTGACAGATATTCTCTGTAGGGTAAAATCGCTAGCACAATGTTGTGGGAAGAGTTAAATATGATGAAGAGGTGCCTTAGTAAGGAGATATTTTCCAAACAAACCTTCAACAGCATGGACTACCAGTTCTGATGGAGGTACCAAACTACAAACTCAGCCACTGCTAAATGACCAACTCTAGCCTAATCCACGCACAGCGTTTTGCCAAACTGTCATCCAAATTCCTGCCAACTTTACTCCACATTTGCTTTTAGCCTGGTGTTCATATGTGGAAGAAGCTTGTGATTTTGAAACAGTTTCACCAGTCGACATACAGATGGTCTTTAGAAGGTAACCACCCAGTTCTAGAACACAGAATGTAGAACAGAAGAAGAAAATCCAATCAGTTACTTTTTTTTTTTTTTTTTAAGGAGGAAGCCCTCAGCTATCCACCTCATGGGACGACTGACTGTGAGGATGACTGAAATAATTAATCATGAAGAGCTTTGTGCTCTTGGGAATAAGAGTGCTCTGTGAGTGCAAAGCCCATTTATTGTCATTAGTGCTAGGACTGATATTTTCCTTGGGATTTCATTAAGAAGATTAAATATGCAAAGCACACTTATCACGTATCAACCAATCTTGGGACTCAATGTGATGATTACAACATACTCATTCCTATAGTGATCCTTTCCCACTAGTTAAGTGTCTGGGAAAGTGACAAAGGCTATATAATAGTTCAACTCAATGAATGGCAGTTCCATTAGTTCATTTGTTTACAAAGCAAATGAAAAGCTTTCCAAGATACCTGACATTGCAAAATACTGAAAGTTATCCTAGATAATACTGAAAAAATTAAAGATCTCTTTAGACTAATCTCCCCTTTGAAGGCAAATGCAAACATCTGGAAATTTTAGTACAGATGATATTGTTTTGTTAGTATTTTTTAAAGAACTAAGTATGATTTATTCCAGAATGGAAGGAAGGTTAAAAACAGGAAATGATTGGAATAATTATATCACAACTTAAGAAAAACAAAAGATATGATCATCCTGAGTGAAGTCAAAAAGTCATCTGATAAAATTCAACATCCACAGGATTTTTTTTTTTTAGGGGGGGATCAGAGTCATATAGCTAGGTTTTTCAATGCCAATATCAGTGTGTTTGTATGTAATAAAAGTTCTAAGATTTAGCAGTGCAAATCTTCTTCTGCTGTTCCCCTTTTTACTTCAAAATGAACTTTTTTTGTCAAATTACTAGAAAATATGCTTAGCAGAGATTATTGTGCTTCTCTATCTCACTTCTATCACCACAATCATTTAAAATTCCTTTAAAAGTTCTAGCTAATAACCCAAAACAAGAAAAAGAAAACAGCAAGTAATTATTGAAAAACAGAGGAGAAAAAGTTAATTTGGAAATAACTGTCTACCTCGAAAATCCAAGATTCAGCTGGAAGGTTAAGGTTCTGTTTACAAACTACACACACCCACCCACC